CTGCCTGCTGGAGATGAGCCACCTCCACCACCTCTTCCTGCTGAGGAGCAACCTCTTCCCTCAGCAGATTAGCTTAGGAGTTTTTGCTTTATTTTTGTAAAAAACATTTTTGTAATTGATGTTTGATTTATTGTATAAAAGTTTTGAATTTTATTCTTGGCATTCAATTTTAGTTTCGAATTGCTGGTTTACTTTAAGTGAATGACTTCGGATAAAGTAACTTCATTTAACACAAAGTTCTGACCTCGAACACAATAAAATGAACAGGAGAGGAATTGACCTCGGGTACATATATATATGAGGCGGACTGCGAATACAGAAATGACAAAAGATAAAGCAAAACACTTCAAAAGTGAGTGTAAAGAAATCATAACCCAACAAATGAAGTGAAGTGACTGAATAAGTCACAATGAAAGGACTGAATCACTTCGAATGTGAAGTGAAGTTCATTAATGATGTAAATGAATTGAGTTTCGATATACAGTAAGCAAAATAATGGCGATTATAGAAATAAGACAAAGTTTACTGGAAAGAAGTGTATTAAGGGTAAAATTTCTTCAAGTTATTGGCATTCCAGACTCTAGGAACCCTTTTGCCCTCAGTGTCCTGTAGGATAGAAGCACCTGGGTGGGGCACTTCGGCCACAGTGTAGGGGCCCTCCCAGTTTGGTGCTAGCTTTCCAAATCGAGTTTCGAACCCCGTTACACCAGCTTTCCTAAGAACAAGGTCTCCTACTTTGAATGCGCGGGGTCGAACTCGTTTGTTGTAGAAGTTTTCTATTTTCTGCTTGTAGACTAGAGTTTGAAGTCGTGCTTCTTCTCTGACTTCATGAAGCAGATCAAGGTTCTCCCGAAGCAGTTGTCCATTTTGTCCTTCATCGAAATGGGTGACCCTGAAGCTTGGGACTCCTATCTCGATAGAAATGACTGCTTCGGTACCAAAGGCCAGATGATAGGGTGTTTCACCTATTTCAGTTGATTATAACTTTAGAATGCGCTTTACGCATTATGCATATTTGCTCTAAGGTAAAACCGTAGCAGAAGAAGTAAAATAATATAAAACTAATCAAATAGGCCAGGTGTAGAGTAATACCTGTGGCAGTTCGGCTCGTAGTTCTATACGCCCAGAGGGTGTTGTTGAGCTTGTCTGCCCATTTGGCCTTGTGTTGTTCCAACCTCAGCTTTATACCTTCTAAGATGCATTTGTTAACAGATTCAACCATGCCGTTAGACTCCAGATGGTAAACCGAGGTGAACTGCAGTTTAATCCTGTAGCTGGAATAGAAATCTCGGAATGAGGAGCAATTGAACTGAGTTCCATTATCAGCTACAATCTGATTCGGGATCCCATATCTGCAAATAATCGAGCTGAAAACAAAGTCCTCGACCTTCTTGAAGGTAAGACTGGATAATGCCCGAGCTTCAACCCATTTTGTGAAATAATCCACACCAACGATGAGATGGGTTACACCTCCTACCCCCTTCATAAATGGACCTAAAAGGTCAAGACCCCACCAAGCAAATGGCCAAGGTGCTACCAGAGTAGTGAGCTCTTCTGTAGGCTGGTGGATTAGATGTGTGAAAAATTGACATTTCTGACACCTTTGTACGAACTGAGTGGCATCCTTGTACATGTTGGGCCAATAATAGCCCTGTCTAAGGACTTTATGAGCCAAAGTTCGAGCACCTACATGACTTCTGCAGACACCTTCATGCACCTCCCTGAGTGCGTATTCCACTTCATAAGGGTTCAAGCACCGAAGAAGAGAGAGTGAGAAAGATCTCTTATAGAGGACCCCATCAACAAGTGTATACCGAGATGCTTTCTTCCTCAACTTCATTGCCTCCTGCTTATCCTCAAGTATCTCCCCGTCTCGTAAGAAGGAGACAATTGAGTCAATCCAGCTTGGTGTGTCTGGGTTTGTGCTGATCTCCATCACCCGTGGCTTCATGAAGCTTGGTGCATCTAAGACCTCCACAAAAACTGATCTAGAACTTAAAAAGCTATCCAAGGCAAATTTAGAAAGTGAATCTACCTATTCATTCTCGACTCGGGGAATTTTGCTCAGACAGAACCTCTGAAATCTGCACTTCAGCTCAGCCACGAGGGCTACATACTTCATCATCACCGGATCGACAACTTCACAAATTGAGTTGATTTGATTCACCACTAGCTGGGAGTCATTGTACACCTGTATTGCGCTGATTTTCAACTCCAATGCTAGTTGTAAACCAAGTAGCAGAGCTTCATATTCAGCCATGTTATTTGTTGCATCGAAGTTGAACTTCAGGGCATGTTCACTTCGGTACCCATCTGGGCCAATCAAGAGAGCACTAGCTCCTGAACCTTTGCTACTAGATGCCCCATCAACATATAAGGTCCACTCGTTGGGCTATGGATTGGGGGTTGAATGATGTGCAGTGCATTCTACAATAAAATCTGCCAGTGCCTGAGCTCGGATCGCAGATCTCTGCTGAAATGTTATCTCAAATTCCCTCAGTTCCACTACCCATTTAATTAATCGTCCCGAGCACTCTGGCTTTTGTAGAATCTGTCGAAGAGGTTGGTTTGTAAGGACAACGATCGGGTGTGACTGGAAATATGGCCTCAACTTCCTGGCCGAAATGACAATTGCTAAAGCTGCTTTCTCAACAATTGGATACCTCAGCTTTGCTCCATGTAGCACACTGCTGATGTAATAGATTGGCTTCTGCTGTTTGGCTTCCTCTCGTACCAAGACCGAGCTAATGGCTTCATATGAAATTCCTAGATACAAATAGAGAATCTCTCCATCTATGGCCTTAGTTAGTAGAGATGGTGAGCTAAGATAAGACTTCAGCTCATCAAATGCGGCTTGGCATTCATGATTCCATTCAAACTTCTTTTGTTTACCCAATTCATCCTTTTGGACGGCTGACCTCATAATCTTGAAAAATGGTAGGCATTTATTTGCTGACTTCGATATGAACCGATGAAGAGCTGCCACTTTTCCAATCAACCTCTGTATATCTTTCACTGACTTCGGTGGTTCCATCTCGGCTACTGCTTTGATCTTCTCAGGGTTAACCTCGATCCCCCTCCTAGACACCATGAAGCCGAGAAACTTTCCAGACTCTACGCCGAAAATGCACTTTGCTGGATTCAGCCTCATTCTGTTCTTTCGGAGGTTGTTGAATGTCTCCTCGAGGTCGGTTAAGTGATCTCCAGCTTTCAAACTTTTCACCACGATATCATCAACATATACTTCCAGATTCCGGCCTATTTGAGCTAGGAATACGATGGTAACCATCTTCTGGTAAGTGGCACCTGCATTCTTTAGGCCGAAGGGCATCATCACATAGCAATAGATTTCATCGTCAGCATAGAACGAGGTTTTTTCTTCATCTTTATGAGCCATTGGAACCTGGTGGTAGCCAGAGTACGCGTCCAAGAGACTTAATCTCTCGTTTCCAGAAGCTGCCTCAACCAACTTGTCAATGTTTGGCATTGGGTAACAGTCTTTTGGGCATGCCTGGTTGAGGTTAATGTACTCGATGCACATCCGCCATTTGCCATTTGCTTTCTTCACCAAAACAGGATTGGCGACCCACTCACAGTAATCGACTCGTCTAACAAAGCCAGCTTGCAATAGTTTTTCAACTTCTTCTTTGATGACCATTAACCTCTCCCCCCCGAAGAGGTGCCACTTCTGGGCTACTTGTTTTTTGAGTGGATTGGTGCTGAGTTTATGTTGAGAAACCGAAGTGGAAATTCCCGGCATATCTGCTGAGGTCCATGTAAAAACATCTTTGTTAGTTCGGAGAAAGGCTATTAGTTCTGTTTTCTCATCGAGACTCAGCCGAGTTCCTATCTGTGTTTTCCTGGTCGGATCCCTGTCATCAATCTATACCTCTTCCACATCTTCGACTGGAGCAGCTCTAGTGTCATCTTCTGGTCAGTTATCTACTATTTCAACACCCATAACTTGTCGATCATCAGGAATCCGTTTGGGATTAGTCTCAGGTATCTGATCTTTGCCCTTCTAAGGTTGTGTTACCGAGGTGATATAGCAATGTCGGGCCACCTCCTGGTTACCTCACAGCGTTGCTATTCCCATAGAAGTTGGGAATTTCATGCATAGGTGAGATTGGGAAACCACAGCTCGGATTTCAGTCAGTGTGGGTCAGCCAATGACGACGTTGAAAGAGGACACCATCTTGACTACCAGAAACCTAACTGAAGGGGTCACATAACTCCGGCCACTTCCAAATGCAACATTCATGGTGAGGACGCCTTCAACTAGGATTGGCTGGTTGTTGAATCCATAGATGGGACCATCATATCGTTGCAACAAAGCCGGATCTAACCCAAGACTTTCAAAACAATGGAAATACATGATGTCTAATGCACTCCTTGTGTCAACAAAGACGCACTGCACCTCACAATTGTTAATCGTGACAGAAGTGACTAGGGGGTCATTGTGAGGTGTGACGACTGTATCGAGATCAGCAGATGTGAAGGTAATCAGTTGATTCTTCCACTCGGCATCGTCAAACTTTCGCTTCTGAGCTCGGTTTTGATGTTTAACCTCTCTGACATACAACTTTCGCTGCTTAGAGCTTAGTCCACCAGCTTCTAGGTCTCCCGTGATCATATGTATGATTATAGCTGGTGGTGGGAACGGAGGTGGGGTTTGTTGATATCCCACACCTTGCCGATTTGGTAGGTTACGAACTTCTTGAAGCTGTGGCCCTTGTTCTCTGACAAACCGTGGCTGTTCAGCTCTCTAAATGTACTCATTTAACAATCCCTTCTGGGCAAGACTTTCCAGTTCGGACCTCAAGCTGTTGCATTGCTCTGTTGTATGATCGTGATCTTGATGGAAATCACAATATCTAGTATGATCTCGGTTGGCAACAGTAGTTCTCATTGGGCCGGGACGCCTTAAATCCATCTTATTCTTGATCTACATGAAAATTTGTGACCGCAACAAATTAAAAGGAGTCCAATTAACTGGAGGTTTACCTTCAGACTGTTGTGGGGTTGTGGAGTTCGGACTTCCGAATCTTGGTACAAAGGTCGAAATTGGACCTCGGTTCGGTGCTATCCTCATCCGCTTCCTGCTCGGATTCTCCTCCCTCCAGTCTGGGTTTTGGTTCTTAGAGGGGACTGGTTTCTACGACAAGGCATATTCTTCAGCAGTTATGAACTTCAATGATCTATCATTTACCTCGCTGAAGGTGGTGGCAAGATGTTTGAGCAGACTATCTCTGAATCTCTCATGGCTAAGACCTGAGATCACAGCTGTAATTCCCACAGATTGGTCGAAAGAGTTAACCTCCAGCATTGCATCATTAAATCTGCTCATAAAATTCTTCAATGACTCTCCGTCCCTCTGCCTAACTCGCATCAGCTCAGAAGTGGTTTTCCTGATCAACCTTCTACTGGGAAACTTTATGGCAAAAGCAGATGCCATTTTTGTGTAAGAGCTGATTGACCTCGGAGGTAAACTGTAGTACTAAATTCGAGCATTACCTCGGAGGGTAGAGGGAAAGATTTTGCACATCAACGCATCAGAGGCGTTCTGGGCTTGCATGCAAGAGTAGAAAGCATGTAGATGATCATCGGGGTCCTTCATCCCATCATAAGTTTCAAGTTGTGGTATCCTGAAGCCAGCAAGATAGGGTTCCAATGTAATGTTGGTGTTGAGAGGGTGGGGTACGGAGTCAGCAGCAAGGTGTGGAGGTGGGGCTCCTCGCTGTTCAGCCACTAGCTTTTCTAAGCTGTCTAGACGTCGAGTGACATCATCATGAAGGGGTTGCTGAACTGGTGCGATGTGAGATTGGCCCTGAGATTCACTAATAGCAGGAGCATGCTGAACTAGTTCAGGATTTTGTTGTGAAGATGGGGGTTGTGGAGTAGGGTTGAGTAGGTTAATGAGTGGATCACCAGGATTGTTCTGAGCTAATAGTTGAGCCAGCACTAGCTGAAAGACACCAAACTGTTGCTGCATGGCAGCAAGCTGAATTGCAACTACGTCTTGGTTGGCAGTAGAGGCTGAATTGTGAGCCGAATTGTGTGGCTGATTTTCATCTCCTCCTTTCGCATGGTCAACATGAGGGAATGTATTTGGGATTGGGGGTGGGGGATGAGGTGGAAGGTTGTTGGGGACCTGACCTCATCCAGGAGGCTAAGATGAGTTTCCAGCTCGGACGGACCTAGTTTTAACCATGATAAGAGCAACAAGGGAGCTTTCGGTTCGAATTCCCACAAACGGTGCCAAATGGAATTGCACCAAACCAGAAGTCCTTCTTCCGTCCGTATCTGCACTCCGGATTGACCTGCAAAGCCCCGAGGTGGGTCCTCGGGGTAGACACTCTGATGCTTAAGTCAGCAATAATCGGGGCTACCTTTAGAACGAAGAAGCAAGGAGCTTAGGGTTGGTTTCAATTACCTTTTGGCGTGGCCCTTGAGGGGTATTTATATGTTCCAATGAAGAACCCACGTGGCATGCCAAGCAGGATATTCGGGATCCGATGTGTATCTCCAAGCAGTTATTTCGGGATCGGGAGATTGAGCCAAGCAAGATATTCGGGATTTGATGTGCATCTCCAAGCAGTTATTTTGGGACCGGGAGATTGAGATATATTTGGATGCGAGGATGTCCATCGTAACTGCTGTGCAGCTGTTGGAGCGAGAAGCTCTGGATTTACTCTTCACTCTAGTTGTAAAGGAATTACTGTCGTACGTCTGAGGTTGGGCACCTCGGACCTGCCTTTACACACATCATACTCAAGCAACTTACTTTCGTAAATGGTCCTGATCCTAAGTTGCCTCTTGACCGTAGATATCAATGGCGGCCTCTGAAACATAGCGCCAGTTAATGTCTCAAGAGCACGAGCCACCTTGGCAACATCAGGAACCTTGGAATGCAACTGGGTGACA